ATTGAAATGAAGTCTATCTGGTTTTTGGTGTGTCCATCTGGTGAAATCCATGTCCCTTGTGTTGTATATCCTTGTGTTTGAACACACAGCCACCAATCACCAAATCATTGAAGGCGCAGAAGTCTGAGAAGAGTTCACCATTGTCGTTCATTTCACCAAGGGCCTCTCGACCCATGGTGAGTTCTCTTCCTGTATTGTCTCCTCCCAGCTTCGCATTCATATCACCCATCAAGATTTTGATATCGCCATTTACGACTTTGTCCATTACTCTTTGTAGTTGTCTGTAGAACGCCTCTTTCTTCTCATGTTCTGAGACGTTTGTAGGCGCATAGCATTGGATGATTGTAACCTTCCTTCCTTCCTTTTGAGTTGAATCTGGCTGTCATTATCCTGGAGGAGATTGGTTCCCACTGCATGAGAGCTTTGGCTGGTGTTGGTGACATCATGATGGCCACTCCCTCGGTGTGCTCGTGGTTGTTCTCTGGGTGGCCTGAGTGGATTACTGTCTCCCCAGTCGGTAGCTGGCACCTGTCTTTCTGTCTGGATTCAACATAGAACTTGGCACCGAAGTGCAGCAGTTCGAGTTGCCACGTTCCAAATAGCACACAGAGGTAGACAAGAAGATGAGTGAAGAGAATCAATAGAGTTTGACAAGTATAAGAGTGAAACAGAATGGGTAATGGTAGAAAGGAATATGAAAGATTACAGAGACTGAATACATCTGCGCCATTGACAACGATTTTGAGCCATGTCACCTATTGTCTCCAGCCATTGATTCCTAGAGTCCCGAGGGCCCCAACCCGGGAGTCTGCATCTCCCTACCTGACTCAGTTTAACTGTCAAGGATTTCATGGATTGATGCCATGTTTTTGTTTGGCCACCACTGGCTCTTTTCCAACCTGAACCTATATCAGCTAGCAATGCCCGTCGGGGGAGGCGGTGGTTAGGCATGCGCAGCACGTGACCTAGCCATCTTAGTCTATGTAACTTTATAGCCTCGTCGATTGATTTTCCCTCTTTGCCCAACACTCTACGCCTAACGTCAACATTACTTACCTTGTGAAACCACCTAACGTGAGACAGAGATCGCAGACATCTATGATCGAAAGCAGTCAACCTTTTCATGTCTTCAACGCGTATTGGCCATGTTTCAGAGCCATAGAGAAGGACGGAGCGAACTGATGAGCAGTACACACGTCCCTTGGTTGATAACCGGATGTCACGCCTACGCCAGAGATGGTGTAAGTCAGCGAAAGCAGCTCGAGCTTTTCGGATCCGTGCTGAGATTTCATCGCCAATCAGTCCGTTGGTGCTAATACAACTTCCCAAGTAGGTGAAGTGGTCAACATGTTCTATCACTTCACTCCCTATCACTAAGTTAGGGGTTGACGTGGTCCAGTCCTGTAGCAGCATCTTACATTTTGTAGGGGCGAATCGCATGCCAAACATACGAAGATTGCTGCTCAAGGTGTTCAGAAGACTCTGCATTTTGTCAGCATCCTCCCCTAACAGGACTATGTCATCTGCATATTCTAAGTCCATAAGATTATTCCCTGGTAACAAGTCGATTCCTAAGTCATTACGTTCAGTTAAGGATACTTCCATTAGCATATCTATGATGAAGTTAAACAGAAATGGGGAAAGTGGACATCCCTGTCGGACACCACTGGTTGTTACCAATTCAGATGACAATTCCCCATAAGCCCTTACACGACTACGTGAGTTTGAATAGAGTGCCTTGATTAGTGCAATGTACTTTCTTGGCACTCCCTTCACAGTCAGACATTGCCATAGTACCTTTCGATCCACGGAGTCGAAGGCCGCCTTCAAGTCAAGAAATATGACAATTGTTGGACGCCGAAAAGTGTGTCTATGTTCTAGAATCTGTCGAAGAGTGAAGATATGATCTATGCACCCTCTACCTGGTCTAAAGCCTGCTTGATTTTCCCTTGTCTGTTCCTCCCGAGTTCTGCTTAGTCTATGCATGATTACTGAGCCTAGGATTTTAGAGACTATGTTCGTTAGGCTGATCCCCCTATGATTATCACACGAGGACTTGTTTCCCTTCTTGAATATCGGTATAATAAGTGACTTACCCCAGTCTGATGGCACTGTCTCTGATTCCCAGACTTTGCCTAGTACCTCAGTTAATCTACAAACTAGTATGTCACCCCCATATTTAAACACCTCCGGAATAATTCCGTCGGGTCCTGCCGCTTTGCCTCGTTTCAAATTACTGATAGCTTTTGTGACCTCACTTACAGACGGCGGACCAGTGTCTATATCCCATTCGGGTGTGTTTGGATGTCGGGGAGGTTCAGTGTGGCTGTAGGCAAGTTAAATTGTCCCTCAAAGTGTTCTTTCCAGCGTTCAAGGCGTCTATCCTGAGAGCTAATTAAGGAGCCATTTTTCTCAGAAATAGTCTCACTTATAATTTGCCTTCTCCCACCTACCACATCCGTTCCATATACTCTCGCAGATTTCCAACACTTCTATTCTATATCTCCTCATTTCAGCGGCTACCTGGGCGGCCTTTCCAGTTTCGTACATTGTACGAACATTCCACGTCCCCATCCTTATTTTTGCTTTCATCGAAAGGCACATCGGCTGACTGGCTTCCCGAAGGCCAGCTTCCACCAGCCTGCGTCATTTCACTTCCCCGATTCCAGCGAAAAGTAAGGCTATTGCTTATGTTTTTAGAATTTTCAATATATTTATTCGTTGAAGTTTCTGTAGCGCTTTGGTTGTTTTACAGGGGTGGAGTTGCTAGCACCACGCCCCAACCCTCCCTCTTTACCCGGGCTTGGGACCGGCGAGAAAACTAGTAAGCTAGTAGCCTAGCAAGCTGGTATCTGGCGTAACTTCATTACTTTGCACTTTTTCAGGTTGATAGTCATACCACTGGTCACCACCCAGTCTTCCAGAATGTTTAGATCTTCTTGCAGCCCATCTGAGTCCTCCGGACACTTTATCGCCCTCCATATCTTTAGGTCGTCAGCGTATAGAAGAGTCGGACAGCTTAGACGGCATGGTAGATCATTGATAAAAATCAAAATTATCAGTGGTCCTAGGATAGATAATTGCGACACTTCTGATGACGAGCTGTGCCAGGATGATCGAACTTGATTGACCTTAGTGCAAAATTGCCTTTCAGCTAGGTAGTCGTTTAACCATGACAGAAGTGGCTTACTTATACCTGCCTGGCTTATTTTGTGTAGGTCATGGTGAACGGTGTCAAATGCCTTCTCAAAGTCTAGGAAGAATACATTGACTGGGACATTCATATCCCAGCATGATGTCTAATCGTCCCAAGCTAACAGTAGGTTAGTAACACAGGATCTGCCTTTCCTGAAACCGTGTTTGGCTTCATGAAGTACATTAGACCTATCGAGGTATTCCCTGATGTGATCGTCAATAATACTCTCCAGTACTTTTGATACCACTGGGAGTAGAGCTACTGGTTTATAACTAGTGGCATTTCGCCTATCCCCACTCTTGAGGATCGGAGAAATGATGGCTCCTTTTCACTCCCTTCGCAGTTTCTCCGAATCGATTGAGTGTTGGAATAAATCACATAAGAGCGAACAGAGAGCTTCGGTGCACTGTTTCAGAACAGATGGCCTGATGTCACAACCCGAGGACTTCCCCGGTGAGTCGCTGTAGCTTCCCTAGTACTATTGCCGGGTTTACTTGTGAAGGAACCACTAGGTCTTCCTCCTGTGGAATAGTAGTGCCACTATTTTGGCCCGCAACAGTAATACCCACATTGCTGTTTAGCGAAGGCTAAACTGAATATTTCAGCCATCTCCAGACTAGTGGGATATTGACCGTTTGGGCCTGCTAAGGCGCATGCCCCCTGGTTGGTTTTCTTTGCGACATGAAGTGATACAAGTTTTTGGGGTTTGCTAGGAGTTTTTTGGCAAGGCTAGCCTGGAATGACCTCATGTCACTCCTGACTCTCGCGTTGCACCGGTTCCTGAGTTCCAGGTATGCGTCGTGGTCGATGTGACTCTTAGATACGCGCCACGTAAACCAAGCCTTCCGCTTTGCTTGCAGAATACGTTGCGTGCCTCTTTTAAGCCATGATGACTTTCTTTTGGGTTGTGTTGTAACTTAAGGGACACATACAATAAGAACGATACAACACCAATACTACAGATATGAAAAACATTATCACCAGTAAAATCAAAGAAGAAGGAATAACAGAACTACATATAGAAAGTTTGGAAGCTATCCGAGTGCCTTCATAATACCGTGAGCAATAAACTGTGTTCGAAACGTTACCAGTATATAAATAATACTGTACACTGTTTTATCAAATAATTACACTGTATCAGAAGAATGACAGATGTTACTTAACACCCACTTGAATTTCCATGTAACTGGCAATGAACCACACCTGCTGTATGAGGATCAATGGTAAAACGTAAATGCCGAAGCATCAATAGGAGGGGAATGAGGTTTGAACACGTCACTCGGTGGGTGGAATTCAGTCGTCTATGCTGGTGGAACACTGATCAAATTACACTGTCATATGTTATTTTAATTCATTTACAGCATTCTTCAGTTACATCATCCTATTGACTTTCTGTTGACAATGTTAGTTAATAATGAAGTAGTTTTATCCCATAGTGTGTTCGAACGAATTCACAATAAATGCTTTTCATATTCAACTAATGAGTTTCAATTCAGAATTTTTTATTACAGCTTGATTCCACACCGTATCTTTGGTACAAGTATGGAATTTTCAGCATGTGATATCGGTAGCCCAAATTTCGCAGGCCGACCATTGATATCAGGTGTGCGTCGGCAGAGGATCGAACCCGAGACCATGTGCATGGTCGGCGAGAGTCCTAACCACTGTGCCACCGACGCACACATACAGTTCAGAAGTGATAAAAACATTAGAAGCTTAACAAAAATAGAGACGAAACTAAGCAGCAGGAAGACCTAATACGTGTATTATTATTAACAGTAACAATAATAATATTGATACTTACGTGGAAGAGGACGAAAGTGTCCAGGAGTATTCATTTTTCCACCGGTATCTTTCTTTGGTGGTTTTTTAGTATTCTGATTAGCTGGAGGCTGATTAGGTTTCTTTTCAACAACTTTTTCTCCACAAAGCATGCGCTGTGCTTGTTTGTATCCTATATATGAAAGTATAAATATATGTGTACAATCCTGAATGCGTTATTTTCAAAAAATTTCTTGACAGAACTTGTACCACTATTGTTGGACACTAGTTGCTAGTGTCTAACCTCATGCATTTAGTCCTTAGTGTTGGCGTAGAGTGATAGAGTTCAGCCCGCAAGCGCGAATAGCTGATTGGTGGTAACGTCTCCGACTGCAGCAGTAAGTAAACCAGGTTCGAATCTTAGGTGGGAAATGAATTCTTTCAAGAATGTAATTCCGCCTTTCTGACTGACAAGTGCCAATAAGCACAAAACCTCGGTTCGAGAATTCCTGTTGACTGACTGCCTCCAACCACCTAAAAACTTGTATTAGCTATTCTTACTTCATAATTATAACAATATAAAGCCACACGAACATACATAAGTCATAATTCAATTAATGAATACAATTAAAAAGTCCATAATACTGCAATAATTCTTCAACTGACTGAATAAAGCACGAATAAGAAATAGGTAAAACGAAAAGTATAGTGAAAGTATCTTCTGGTAAGAACAATTAGTCATAAACTACTATCCATTTATCTGTCAAAAGTACCAGCTTGTCACTTGACAGAATTCTTATTAGTGACGTTACACCTGACTATATATATATATATATATATATATATATATATATATATATAAAGTCCCTAATGAATTCACCTCCATAACAGGAAAACGTAGAATATGAATCAGTATTTTAAGAGAGTGCGGAGAATGCCAAACATATTTAGATATATGTGATATCCTGACTACCATTAGATAGTTGTTAGTGTATTTTATCCCCCTGATTTCTCAATGCCATTCATATTTATATACAATGTATCACTATTTATTTTCCGGCTTGCTAGAAAGAAAAAGAAATTACGCAGACTGGGACAAAAAATAGTAGGCTTACCCTGAACATTGAAGTGACCAGTCTGATCTACTATAAGATGAAGGTGATCTTTTGTTCGTTGACCATCCATACCAGTGAAGATAAAATGCTCTAAAGGAACTGGACGCTTGTTAGTCGCAACCACGTGGATTTCAGTATCTCGTATACGTCCTAACCAGTCGGCAAATTCTACTTTGTTTGGAACTGTTGCGCTTAACATAACAAGTAAAACATGTTTAGGCAGCATAATCATTATCTGTTCCCATACATGACCTCTTTCAGCATCATTCACATAGTGTACCTGTACAATAATTAAAGCGGCAAAAACGTCATCAAAACTATATATATATATATATATATATATTCACATGTGCTATCATTTTAATTAATTAATTGATTAATAAACTGAGATATAAGAATTACTGTTGTTATTCACTAACTCGTGTACTCCTGCTAAATGTGGTGACTTAAAACAATATACTACAGTGGCTATTTCTCTTTTGCGGTGTTTAACCGATAAGAACATTGAAAAACGTAATCAATTCAGTGATTGGTACAGTAAGAAACTAACTTCCATTCTTTAAAAAAAATTGGTATAATTCGGTCTTTTTTTATTACTTGGCATTCCGAGTTAGACATTAGGACTTCAAGCTTGAGCTTTGAATTTTCAGTGGAAGTGATGTTTCCTTTTGCGGAGTCAGTTTGTTAGACTCACACCCAATCTTCCCCCTCCTTACCGGTCTTGCTACCGGCTAAGCGTCGTGTAGGAATGCGTCTTCCGGGAATCGAATCCCGGAGCATATTCGTAGTAGGCGGGTGTCCTAGCACTGAATCACTGACACGACCACAATTCAGAACCTGGTACAAAATTCGATGCGATATTCTGAGGGATATATGTCTTTAAATACTGCCTTGGTGGAGGCAGATTTCGCCAAGACAGAAGGCAGTTAGTTACAAAACCATCAAAAATAAGAAGCACTAGTTAATCCTAGTTTAGAACTTTCTCAGCAGTGTTTACTCACAATTCCGTCAGGGATTTAATCCTAAACGTTCATGGTAAGCGTACCATTATCCAGTCACTGGGTCGGATTCCAGGTGTGGTGAGAGCAGGCTGCTAGCCGATTGGTTGGCACTAATCTACGTTAAGGTCTAGGTCACTAATATGGGCCGTGAGAAAATATGAACAAGCCTGAGTCAACAACCAATCACAGCAAAGTTAACGTGGCAGAATATGATTCGCAGAGAGAACTCTATTTGTCAAGGAATCCCGAAACAACCAATCAGAAGCCTGCGTTTGTCTACCTAAACAACCAATCAGATGACTGCGCTTGTCTATAATAATGTAGTTGAAAGATGTATAAATACGTGTTGATTTTCATAATAAAACGATCTGTTGCTTCGCCCTTGTCTTCTGTTGTTACATTTGGTGTCGCTGCCTACCGACAAATGGAAAGCCTATGCCCTGCTGTTTTCGATGGAGACATATGGATCTTCGGGCAGGACTTCAAGGCTTCTGCGCAGTTGAGTGGCGTTCAAGATCTGTCAGCGATGGAGCTGCTACTTGGGACGCTGCTGGGAGGTCGGGTGAAAGCAGCATATGAAAGTGTGAGCCGAAGTATGGACGAATGTTCGACAGGGTCAGGCAAACAGTTTCCAAAGTGGGAAGGACCATATATGGTCACTTCGAGATGGGGTTACGCAGACACAGTCGCAATGGCGAACAATGAGAGGCGCGTGAACGTCAGCGAGCTCCAGAAATGGATACAGCGAGACAAGCCAACGATGACGCCTGCACCAAGTAGATCAAGCCGACTTCAGTCGCACGTATTTGACGGGGGACGAGTGTGGTGAGAGCAGGCTGCTAGCCGATTGGTTGGCACTAATCTACGTTAAGGTCTAGGTCACTAATATGGGCCGTGAGAAAATATGAACAAGCCTGAGTCAACAACCAATCACAGCAAAGTTAACGTGGCAGAATATGATTCGCAGAGAGAACTCTATTTGTCAAGGAATCCCGAAACAACCAATCAGAAGCCTGCGTTTGTCTACCTAAACAACCAATCAGATGACTGCGCTTGTCTATAATAATGTAGTTGAAAGATGTATAAATACGTGTTGATTTCATAATAAAACGATCTGTTGCTTCGCCCTTGTCTTCTGTTGTTACACAGGTACTCATGAATTCTAACATGAAGCCAACACCACCCAATATCATTAGTGGGTATTTGTCTTCAAATGTAGATAGGTTGGATCTCAATTAGTCGCGACTTCTCATTAGAACTCCAAAAAATAATTATCTAATCACTACTAAAAGGTATAAATAATAGCAAGGAACCTCGTGAAGTAACTTAATAGGCAAGAAGTCTGACAAAATGATAAGATGTAGTCTTGTAAATAAAAACTTTCTTGTTCTAACTAACTGAAAATAAGCAGGAGGGAGCAAACCACAGCCTCTTCGGTTAATGTCATAAGATAATTAATTAAATGTAACTGAATGAAAAATCAGTGAGTACAAATGGATATAAATCGTGTAACACAAGGTGTCTTTTCAACTAAGTAGATATCATTTGAGTAATGTGGTCACTCAAATTTTAATATACTTCCACCTCCAACAAATTCGAAACATATACAACAAAAGTACTATGACGAAATTGGAAAGAGGTCACTTTCATACTTCAAGTAAACAGAAAAGATGGAGGTGATGTAGGCGACCAGCCAACAACAACAATTAACACCACTATCACCATCGGACGAGGCCAGTGACTTTCATCGTTTCAATACTTCTGATGTTCTTAAATGTTTGAAATCTCTTAAACCTTCCCAGAGTCTAGGCCCCGGTGGTATACCTGCCATTGTTTTAAAGAAATGTGCTGATATTTTAAGTAACCCACTTACAAGCATTTTCAATACATCTTTTTCTAATAATTGTGTACCTTCTCTGTGGAAAGATATTAAAATCATCCCTGTACCCAAGTCTGGTTCTGGAGATAGTGTTAAGTTTAGACCAATTGCCATTACCTCTCCTTTTCTGAAACTGATGGAGAAATTACTGTTACAAAAACTCATTCCCTCCCTAAGCTGGTGACGACCAGTGGTGTCCGTCAAGGATGCCCATTATCTCCTTTTCTATTCAACTTCATCATAGATGTGTTAATGGACTTAACCCTAGGTGACTTCAGCGACTCAGGGATTGACTTGCTACCGGGGAATAATCTCGTTGACTTGGAATATGCAGACGATATAGTCCTTCTAGGCGAAGACGCTGACGAAATGCAGAGTCTTCTGAACACCTTGAGCTGTAATCTACGAATGTTTGGCATGCGATTCGCTCCCGCCAAATGCAAGATGATGTTACAGGACTGGACTACATCGACGCCTAGTTTAAAAATAGGAAGTGAAGTGGTAGAGCACGTTGACCGCTTCACTTATTTGGGAAGTACCATCAGCCAGCGCCAACGCGTTGATCTCTGACGAAATCTCAGCACGAATACAAGGGGCTCGTTTCGCATTTGTTAGTTTACGCCGACTCTGGCGTAGACGAGATGTTCGACTATCGACCAAAGGGCGGGTGTACTGCTCATCAGTCCGCTCCGTCCTCCTTTATGGTTGTGAGACCTGGCCACTGAGAGTGGAAGACATGAAAAGACTAGCTGTCTTTGATCATAGGTGCCTGAGTTCTATTTCCCGTGTAAAGTGGCATAATAAGGTGAACAACATGGTGGTTAGGCGCAGAGTTCTAGGTAAACAAGGGAAATCAATCGACGAAGTCGTGAAGCTACAAAGACTGAGATGGTTAGGACATGTGTTACGTATGCCAAGCCATCGCCTCCCTCGACGAGCTATGTTAGCGGATATAGGGTCAGACTGGAAAAAAGCTAGCGGCGGTCAAACAAAAACTTGGCATCAGTCAATGAAATCCACAACTGTTGGTCTAAGCCACATAGAAAGGTGTAGACTTCCAGGCTGGGGTTCTCGGGACGGTAAAAATCTATGGTTGGAAACAATTGGTGACATGGCTCAAAATCGTTCTCAGTGGCGCAGATGCATCCACTCCCTGTGACTTATGATCTTCAATGAAACTGTTTTGTATTTCTTTATTACTCCTTTGTCTCACACCTCTGCTCACTGTTTCTATTATGCTTTTCTTGTACTTTCTTCTCTTGCTTCGCGTGCTACACGGAATGTGGCGACTTGAACTTCCGCACATTTGTGCATAGTTCTATGTCGAAAACAGACAGACAGACAGACTAAGCTTCTCAAACGATCCAAAGCAGTTTGCTTACAAACAGGGTAGAAGTACTTTGGATGCTGCTGCTGTGTTCCATCACAACATTGTATCCTCCTTAGACAAAGAGGCCAAGTATGTCCGTTGTACTTTCCTTGATTACACATCTGCTTTCGACTCTGTACCTAGAGGCCTTTTGTTAAACAAGCTTAGCCTTACACAAACTGAGTCCTGGGCTATCAACTGGCTGCACTCTTACTTCTCCAATAGGATGCAGTACACGGTATATAATGGTGTAGCTTCCTCTCCTTTGCTTACTGAAGCTGGTGTTCCTCAGGGTGCTGTTCTCTCGCCGTCTCTCTTTTCCTTCTTCTTACATGAGTTACCTCTCTCAGACGAAATCAACTTCGTCAAATATGCAGATGACCTGACTGTTTCGCTTCCCGTTAAGTCTCAGTCAGACTGCTTCAAATTAAATAGCTTCCTGTCGGACATCAGTCAGTGGTCTAAACTAAATGGCCTAACGCTGAATCCCTCAAAATGCCAGACTGTCGACTTCTCCTTTAGGCACAAACGAGATCTACAAACACTAGTAAGCACTCATGATGTCTGTAGAGTTGAGGGGACTATAATTGAAACAAAGTCTGATGCAAAATACCTCGGATTAGTTATATCTTCCGACCTTACCTGGTCATCTCATATCCAAATGATTTCCAAGAAAGTGTTTCGTCTAACCTACTACATTAAGAAACTCAGACTAACTGGAGTCCCTCAACCTCTGCTTTCACAATTTGTCAACTCTCATATCCTACCTATTCTACTTTACTGTTCCCCGTTAGTCTTTCCTGGGTTACTGAAAAAGGATTATACCATCCTGAGAAGGATGTTGAAGGTAGTTAGTAGGACTAGCGGTGTAAAACTCAGTCAGCTCGTCACAACATTAGTGGATAAGCATCTGAATACATGTGAGAAATGGTCTAAAACCATACTCTCTGACTGCCAACACCCCCTCTATTCCCAACTCTCTCCCTGCATCTCATCAGGTAGAACCAGAAATCAGTATAAAATAATATATGCTCGTACAACCAAGTATAGGAACTCAACGATACCATATTTGGCCCGTGTTCTAAGTGACAGAGACAATGTTAAGCGTGAAACCTATGACTTGCTTTGTTGTTAATAACATAATTTTGGCCCTTGTTATTTCCCCCTTACACTCTCTTATTTGTACTCTATAGTGAACAACCTTCTTAAACATACTTAGCTGCTTAAAATTATTATCGTTGGCTTACATTTTTATTCTTTATTCTATTCCTTCTTTATACATCTACTGGGTCCGACTATATTACCACTATGATTATTAAAAATTGTCCCGTCATTAACCATCATGTAACATTAGTTTTGTGGTTGTTCTTTGTTCGGCACTATTTAACTGACAATCTTGTTTGTTATTGCCACTATCACCATCTTAAAAAATTTTGTATTATGCATGATTACTCACACTACCACAACAAACACTGCATTAGTGCTGACAATAAAAAAAACAACCTGAAATGTTTATCTTATGATTGCTTAGTGTTGTTCAATCAAATTAACTGATCATCTTAGCTATAAACATTTTTTTAAGAACATCTCATAATTTCCCGTATGATTATAGCTGTTACTGTTCACCACGCATACTCATATCGTAGCTTCCACTAACCAATACTGAAATATTTTTTCATTATTTGTGTTTATCTTCCTTTTTACTTGGTATTTTTATTGCATTTTTTTGTTATTTCTGTGTTTCTTTTTTGGTTTTTTGTTGTTTTTGTTTTTTTTTGTTTCTTTAAATATTTTATTTTTTTTTTATAATACTCCTTTTAAATGTATGATGAAATTAGATGCAATATTGTAGATATGTGCTGAAAATTCCACACTGTACCACAAGTACTGTTTCTGGAATAAAGCGAAATTGTTATTGTTATTGTTTCTTCAATTATCTAGACAGCACTGTTTCAATTACAGGTGGAACGGATTTAGATGTCGAGTCCAGAATTGGAAAGGCAAGATATGCCTTCATCAATCTGAAATCTCCTTGCAAACTTACTACGCTCAGCATCAACAACAAAGTTCAAATTTTAAATACCAATGTTGAGTCAGTCCAGTAATATGGGTAAGAAATTTGGTGCGCGTGACATTAAAGGCATTCTAACGGGCTACTGCAAACTTTTATCAACAGCTGCCTTCACTGGCTTCATAGTGAAGATCAAATAGTCAAAAAGAATCAGCAACAAGAACCTCTGGGAATGGATCGGACACGCGCTGAGGAGACTATCGAGCGACGTCGCAAGCCAGGCCCTCGAGCGCGTCGCCCGAGGGTGACATGGAGGATATGAAAGCTTATAAGCAATCGTGGGACCAATTGAAGAGGACTGCAGAGACCAAGACAAAGTGGAGACGTGCTATTGAAGCCCTGTGTTCCACTCGGAACACAAGAGAATAATAATAATAATGCGCCAATACTTGCTTCTTTCATGAGTTTCAGTACTCAGGTCATACGAATTAAAGGCAGTATATAACTAATTACGATTTGACGAATATGATTCTATCATAAATACTAATGTTGATGGTCATGGTTTATGGCCGAATACACAGCTAAAAAGAGGTAGCAGTTCACTGCAATAATATGAAGTTAACATGATTTATCATGCAATGAAGACAAAACAATGCCTTTACTTACCTCATCCATAATAACTATTTCTAGATCTCTAATGGTATCAGCATCGTTACACAACATGTTATGAAGGATCTCTGTGGTCATTACAAGCAGAGTAGATTCTGGTGCCAGTTTAATATCCCCTGTAATTAGTCCGACATTATCTCCAAATGTATGCCTAAAGTGAAAGCAAAAATAAACAGTGAGGAAGGAAAAGGACTATAATTGTGAACAATGATATAACAAACTAACACAAACTTGGATTTACTCGCTTACACATCACAGATAATATCACTCAGACAATATAAGCATGAAACATACGAAATCAGTTAAGTACTTTTGATCACAAACTAGTACAGCCGTGTGACAATTGTAAAGACTAAAGAACGTAGAATACAAAACGTCAAGATGGTATCATTTATTTAGATATTCGCTATTAATCACATCCTCCCGCCTAACTAACTGGTAAGTCAGCATGTCTTAAACATGTGTCTAATATACAATATAAAAAATAAAAGACACGAGGATGAAAATAAAATGTTTTCATGTTCGAAAACATGACAAAACAAAATAAGCAACAAAAATTTGGTACTGTAAGTAACATAAAAGATGCGGTGTGTTTTTATCGACATATAGTGTCACTCAACGCATGCTTTCAGCGTCTTAACCTATATGGGCAATATCACCATATAATATAAGTTGACGAGAATCTTCCCTGGCAATAAGTCAGTCCCTAAGTCGCCAAAGTCGATACGGGCCACACACAATAATACATTTGTGGTGAAATCAAACGAAAATGGAAGCAGTGATCATGCCTGATGGTCACCAATGTTTGTCGTCACTTCAGATAACAACTTTCCGTAAGCACTTACCTGCCTGAGTGAGTCTGAGTAGAGTGCGTCAATTAATGCGATGTACTTTCTCGGCGTTCCCTTTACGATTATGCATTACCATAGTACCCCACGGTGACGGCATCAAATTCCGCCTTCAGGTCAGAATATATGGCAACTTCTGAACGCCAGTAAGTATGCCTATCTTCCAGAATCTAAGGGTGTAGATGTCATTAATACACTCTTCCTGCCTGGTTTTCACGGGTTCGTTGACCCGGAGGCACCGCTCACTCCACGCATGATTATTGGATATAGAACTTTATAAACTGTACTAAAACAAGTTAATCCCCTATGCCCATCTGATCCAAAGACATCCTATAATTCTTTATTCAACCGTTGCATAACCCATCACGTCCCGATGGCTTTCTCCTTTTTAAATTTGAGACCTCAGTTTCAGCTGGAGGACCAATGTCTACATTGAGAAAAAACAGATGTTGAATGCTGGGCGAATTTACCGTGGTTGTATGCCAGCGAAATGGCTGCGCAAATTGTTTACTCTAGAGTTTCATTCTTCTATCTCGAGGTAATCATAGCGCCGTAGCAGGAAATTGTCTCGCTCATCATGTCTTTTAAAACCCGTGCCTCCGAAAAGCCTAAATAGTTGCCTGATGTTACCCACCGCCAGTTTTTTTTCTCTTTTTGGCTTTCGGTACCCACCACTGAGACGGAAGATTAGTAGCAAATAGTCCGTATTAGACGCCTGTAAATATATGTAAGTATACGTAACGGCCACTCCAGAGATTCACATTAATGATCGATCTACCACTCTCGACATTACTTATAGTTTTACTTCAAGCAGGAAGTAAAACATGCGTATTGATGGTACTCATTTTATCCATAACCAGACTATTTTAAAAGTACTTTCCTATAGTTTTCGAATAAGATACACCAAGAAGCCAATTGCTATTATTTACTGGGTGATAATGGTGTTTTCCTGTTACACATTATGAGAGAACTAGAGTGAAGTTTCAAATTAATCCCCAATGACAGATAGTAATTATGAACCCTCTGTAATTAGACACTATAAAGATGCAGAAGTACTTAAACCATTCCCAATTTTAAAGTTCTAAATTCTGAATAGGAGGGTAAGTAATTATATTTTCAATGTCATGTTATGAAATACCATATTGCAAAATGTTAAAATTTATACCTGAAGTCATAGAACTTCTGATTTGACAGGGCTTTTATAGGACTAGTATAGATGACTCTAGAACCACGACGTCGACAGAGAGCGCAGGCATACTCCGCAACAACTGTTTTACCAGCGGAGGTATGGGCCGCCACAAAAACAGTTTGATTACGCTCAAGGCACAAAATAGCTTGTTTTTGGAACGTATCCAGTTCAAAATTCCACTTGAACGCAGGATTATCCACTAGCCGGTCCAACGGTGGCAGTTTACAGGTAGTATCTTCCTACGAAAAAAAGAAAAACGGGAGCACAGTTTTCACCACTAGATTACGTATTCCTGAAAAACCTGCAAAGCTCTCAAACTCATTTACCATGTTTTGCATGCAGAGGGTAGATTATACATACATATATAAAAAGCTCCGGTGGACCTACCACTCATACGAGTACTAAATGTTACTTGTTAGTTGACATCACGTTACATGGCAAAGAGAACACTACCATAAAGCTGGAAAGTCTTGGTATCAAAGGCAGGTTACCACACTGGATTAGGGAATTCTCTATAGATAGGAGGCAGAGGGTCAGGATCAACTCGAAACTTTCCTCTTGGACAGCAGTGCGTAGCAGAAGGCACGGTACTCAGATCTATTTTATTTATTTTGTATACCAATCAGTTATCGTGCCTGTAAAAAGGGCATGCATTTTCATGTAAATTTACATGTTTATGTGAAAATATACATAATTATTGTTATTATCTCTGTTTACCGATTCCCCTATAGTCCCATGCGCAGATGACTAAAAAATTTAAACGAGAGCTGAAGTACAACAGTAATACATCCATGTTGCAAGAGGACCTCAACAAATTGTCAGTGGCCCAGGAAATAGATGCTCCCAATCAATGTATCAAAATGTTCAACCATGCGCATCGGACACGCAAGCACCAGCTCCTAAAAACTACAGGGAATAACACCCCCATCAGTTCAGACTCATTTGGCTTTAGTTGTCAAAGGAAGTCACGACATGAAAACTACAGCACACTGTCGCGTGGTGGTTGCGCGTAGTTTCAGATCCTTGCGGGCAATTCGCAGAGCCTCTACTAGAACCATCAGAGTTGTGTTCACCTCCTTATATACATCTGTGGCGAGGTCAAGACTGGAGAAATGTATCCAGGCATCCAGTCCTTGTCTTAAAGGGGATTCATATATTCTAGAAATGGTCCAAAGGAAGGCAACACGTATGATTCCAAGTGACTAACTTATCATACGAGGAAAGACTAGACAGTTTAAATTCCTTTTCCCTGTCATACCGTAGTTAGAGGGGAGATTTAATTACAATGTATAGCATTTTAAATAATGACTGCGGACCCAACCTATTCTCTCTTTTCCCTTCCACTAGGTCGGATCACTTTAAAGGATATAGCAGGACAGTTCAAAAGCCAACAAGAAATCGTACTGCTCTGCAGAAGTGGTTATCACACCGAGTCATAAATTCTTGGAACCGACCCCCAGAAGAAGTGATATCTGCGACCTCAACTGATTCATTCAAGAAGAATCTGGACTAGCACAGAAATTTACTCGAAAATGATCAACATAGGCTCCCAGCCTTCTAAACTCAATCAATAAGTCTGAGTGTGATACTGCGTAAGTTATTGCATAACCACTCTTAATAAATAGGTCGAATAATGTGACCACATAAAATTCTGAAAAAGTAACGGCACTTACTAAAATAGCGTAGGATTTTTGTGGCTTGGAATTCCGAATTCGTTTTTCCAATAATTCTCGAGTTCCCACATCCATATCTAGGCGTTTACCAAACTTCAGGTCCTTTAAGTCAGATGAAAAGTTAATGTCATGTTTAGAGCCTATCCAGTCATACAAAACGCTGCTAGAAGACGATAGTGTGGCGCTAACGATACTGTTTACGTCTTTCAAGTCTCTGCTAGATGATTTTGATGCAAGTGAGAGACGTTTCAGGGAAAACTGTTCGCCGAGTTTATGCCTGACATTACTGCTAACTCTTTCAACGGCACATAGAACTGCAGCTTCACTCTGAACAGTATGAATTAAAAGTAGTTAAGTACCTTCAACTCAGTAAGGCTGGAAACTCCAGACTCTTTATATACAACATTCTCACAAAACATATCAGTACTTGTCAGAACACCATTTATGCACTCACGATTGGTGACAGCTTCGTAAAATGTATCTTCTGTGTTCTGATGTGCCAGCTGTTCGCTGATTGGCCCTGAATCGCAATAGCTGTCGTGTGGAAAAGAATGTTCTAGGAATGCATGAAACTGAATTAAGTGTGACATATCAATAGTGAAAATTATTCATATATTTTCTGTTAGTCCTACAAAGATAAATACGATTAGAAGTCTTCCACGAGTTGTGTTAACATACCTCCCGTATGAATGATTACTGCCCCTACTCGACCTTCGCGACAAATTTACCTCGCACGACCGACCTTGGTAGCATGAAACACACTGGTTCAGATTCAGGTAATGCATAACAGCAAGCTCTGATCTGAAGCTTGATCACCTTTGAATTCCAAGTTCATGAATAAGGTTTTCTTTGTAACTGAGTCGGTGACCAGCTTAAATCGCTTGTCTTTCATGTTGCTGTCAATAGATCGGTTAAGGTAACCGTTTTCTGCGAGCGTGGCTGGCCGCCTCTATGTACACCTATCAGTTTACCTGCTCTTGTGGAGCTAGGTACATTGGCCGTAGTCAGAGAACGCTTTCCAGAAGGATACGAGAACATGTTTCAGCATGGTTTTACAGGGGAGAAAGGAAATGTGTGCGAAGCTCTATTCTGGAACACCTGATCGACTTCTGTGACTCTGTCAACCTCGACCATGATTTTAAGACAATATACATAGAATCCATGTCAACTTCCTGCGTTTTCTTCATTACAGATTTCTAAAGACAGAGGAGGCCTTGGTAATTCATGACTTTAAGCCAGATCTTTGTGGACAAAATAAGTATGCAAAATCCCTACTTATGCTGTCAATGGAGTTGAAGATTGAACGATCAATTCATGGTTGTTTGCTCAAAATCAACTTCCCCGATTTTCGCGGAGGCATCAATACGACAGTCATCGTCTCATCGGTCGCTGTTCAGAAAGAAGAGTGAAACATCGTCAGAAGTAATATAACGATTTATTATTGTAATATTTGTTTACAGACCTTAGTTCGCTTATTCCTTTTATATGTTGGTGTAACAATACAGAAATATCAAACGGCAGATCGGTGTTTTGGTTTTTTCGTCCGTTATAACTAAGCGTTTCTGAAAACTCAAAGGAACAGCGTGGGCCCGAGCGTAGCGAGAGCTGGGCATTAACGGTTTATGAGACGTGATTGACAGTTTCTGACGATAGAAACAGATCTGGCGGATTCAAACAGTTGGTGAAAGTTTGGATAGTCGCCGTTCATCTTTCCTGGTGCCGGTCAAGTCCTCTTTGAACAAGCAATATCTGGAACTTTTTGGAATTGGGTCAAGTTCAACAATGCCTGGGTCAAAGAAGGGACAGAGTGTCTTGGATGCAAACAGGAAAGTAAGTCATGGTGACTTGTCTGTTAATTGTAACGATGTGTCTGATGTTAAGCATGACATGGTTGATGTTACTGTTTCGCCGTTCAGGGATAATAGGAACATCAAACTCCCTAAATTTGAACCACGGTGTTTTGATGGAAACCCGGCTGATTATTTACAATTTGTAAAGGAGTTTGAGATCATGTTGAGTGGTTTTTTATTAAATGATGAATTGAAGTTAATGTATTTGATGAGATATTGCACTGGAGATGCTGCAAGAGCTATACAGTGCTGTAAGTTTATGAAGCCAAAAGAGGGCTACTACGAGGCTATGAGCATATTACGTCAAAGGTTTGGAAGACCTTCGATGATTGCAGGGAAATTATTCGAGGCTGTTAAGGGTAATGGTGGTCAATTACAGGATGACTCCCAGGCACTCACTGAGTTTTTAGATAATTTGCTAATTTACAAGAATGGAATGATTTCGATGAATCGAATGAGTGACCTCAACTCGAGTTTTATACTAGAAGTAATAGCAAGACGTCTACCTACTCGACTGCAAAGGAAGTGGGTGAAGATGAGCTCCCGTATGGAGGATGAGGGTATCGAGCCAAAGTTTGATGATATCCTGAAACTGGTAAAAGATAGCGTCAATCAATCTATGAGCAAGTTCGCCAGTCTATTACATCTCACCCCTAGAATAGAGCAGTCTGAGGGTAAAATGCAATCATTGATGACGAAAGGGCCTCAGAGAGGTGGATATCGAGAAGGCTCCATGATGTCTAGTAATGCATATAGACCTAGTGAGTGTAACAGGTTTCGTAGTACATCCTCAACAGATAAGTTACAAGATGCAAGACAAACACGGTTGTGTTTTACACGTTTGCAAGAGGTGCATACAGAAGTGAACTGTGAACCAGTGAGCAAGTTCAGTGATAAGCTAAATGTAAACTCCAGGTCTGACTCCGAATTGTGTGACGATAACGGTGCGGTGAAGAAGTCTGTAGTTGCAACTGGTAAGCCATTGTTGAATAGAGTGTCACAGAATAGAGTTATTGCTTCAGAGTGCAGTTCTGACCCTACAAGTTTACAAGGTATTACTAGACAGATTGAAGATATAGAACCTTTAAGGATTTGTGAGGAGGAACCAAAATTGTCTACTTCTGTTATTAAAGAGTTTGAAAATGATGAACTTGACGGTAAATTGAATATTTGTGGTAATGATCATGATAGTGCACATTTGTCTTTGGTTGATCATGATGAGATGAGGGATATGCCTACTACTGCTAAGTTGAACAAAGTTTCTGTACAACTTGAACGTGAAGTAGAAATAAATGCAGATGCAGTTGCAGAAGTTATGGATATTTGTGAGACCGTCAGTGTGAGTGATCAGCATGTAGCCCACCTATCATCAGATGCTAGTGCTAAACCCGAACTAGTAGTGAAAGACAGCAGTGGTGGTAATCTTGCAGTTGGACAACTATCTGAGAGCCGAACAAGAACAGCTTCTGATCCACCACTAAGTTCATCACCTTGTGTCACTCAGTCATCGTTGGTGCTGTCATCCACAATGAAACAGACACCCATCAACTCAAGTATCTTGTGCAATGACTATGCTAGTATCAGTTCGTTTGAAAGGACGAATATCAATGGTCAGTTTAGTGAGGATAAGCCAAGTGTAAACGAGAGAGTAATTGTTAAATTGACTTGCACGAATAAAGGCATTTCTAGTTTCAAGTTACTATTTGAATGTTATTATCTTTGGTGTAAATTACTCTGTTTCTACACTTGGTTGATGAGATATGTCGTGTGTTTGTTGGTCATCTATATTCTACGATACAATGACATGGGCGTGTTGCCGTTCAGATTTGAGGATATAGCTGATAGAAGGAAGTTAGCAAATGAACTCTGCGACGATTTTCCAACCTAGGGCGTCAACCTGAGAAGGGTTGTAGGCGTACTGCTGTAAGTCCTACAATTCTTCAAAGGGTAGCGCATCAATGAGCAGTCTAATGTGCTCGGTGTGTGATTTTGTACATATGTTCATATTGTATATACTGAATTGATATCATCTGTCATCTAGCTGTTGGTAATTCTGTTTGTGTCCGGACGACTTCCACTTGGATCATCAACCTGAGAAGGAATGTAGGCGTACTGCTGTAAGTCCTACAGTTCTTCAAGGGTAGTTTGTCATGCCGGAATCCACTTTATTTGATGTAGTGATTGTACATATGTTTGTGTTAAATAATTGTGTGAGTTCCAATTGATATAATTGTTAGTTAATTTTGTTTGTGTCCGGACATTCCACAACTTACAATGGTCAACCTGTGAAGGTTTGTAGGCGTACTGGTGTAAGTCCTGCAATTCTTCAAGGGTATTCCATCAAGACATGAAATGCGAGTTTGTGTGTACTGTTTGTATATACGTGTGGTGTGTCATATCAATTGGTGTTATTTGAATTCATTGTGTTTACTCGTTGTTTTCGTACCTTGTTGTTATTGCATAATTTTGTTAAAATTTTCGTCGTGATTACTTCCAATGTTGTGTCCACTCTTCTACATCCGTGAATGAATTGATTGATGTTAAGGACAGCAGATGGGTCGTATACGCCGGGGAGGCTAGGCTATTGCTGAGAATGAAATGCACACGGAGATAATTGTTAGCTGCGGTCCGACACGCCGGGGAGAAAGAGTGTAAACGACTGAGGCTCGCATGCGTCACCGCTACTAGAACTGAGGCAGAATGAGTGACAAGCGATTGCAGTGGTAATTGATAGTGAGTAGATTAGGATGTGCGTGGAGTATCGTGAGGTGGTGCTATGGTCACATTGCATTCTGCAAGAGTCATTCTAGCAAGTGGCGATTGTGTTGCAAGATGTCAAGAGGAGGTCTCTGTCTGGAGGCGCAGGTCGTCAGCGATGTGTGAGATTGTGCTGTGAGTATGCTTGTGGTGTGTTGGCTTTTCTGTTTGTTTTCCATTTCAGCTCTGTCCGTGTGACCCAGGTTCTCGCAATGGCATCCAAGTCAACGTGCATTGGTCGTGAAGGAAAAAAGGGTTGGATCCCTTTTTTGCCGGGGAGTGTCAATGGAGTTGAAGATTGAACGATCAATTCATGGTTGTTTGCTCAAAATCAACTTCCCCGATTTTCGCGGAGGCATCAATACGACAGTCATCGTCTCATCGGTCGCTGTTCAGAAAGAAGAGTGAAACATCGTCAGAAGTAATATAACGATTTATTATTGTAATATTTGTTTACAGACCTTAGTTCGCTTATTCCTTTTATATGTTGGTGTAACAATACAGAAATATCAAACGGCAGATCGGTGTTTTGGTTTTTTCGTCCGTTATAACTAAGCGTTTCTGAAAACTCAAAGGAACAGCGTGGGCCCGAGCGTAGCGAGAGCTGGGCATTAACGGTTTATGAGACGTGATTGACATATGCCTTGGCCGTAAAAGGATAGATATTTATCAAATATATTTTGTTTATTTAGTTATTCTATGTACTTTTCCTTTATTACTACGATTATTATTATTACTATTCTCACTCTGAATTGTTTCCACTTGATCCACTTGTCATTCTAAATTATCAATTTTTATTTTTTTATTTTTACAGTATTCAATTCTATCTTATCAAAGTTCACACCGTGTAATGTAACACTTTATATTCGCCTACTAATCCTATAGTTATCTACCCTTTTCCAAAATCTATACGCCTTATGTATTATTCTATATGTGATATTAATTATTTTGCCATTTGACATTAAACTATGATTATCACAAAT